AGGGACCCCCGGGTGCCTGGCATGTGGTACTGCAGCCACAGATCTCAACGAAGCGCGAGTGTCGAGGTAAGCCGCTGATCCTTCATCCCTCTTATTTGCACTGCGAAGACTCTCTGAAGTCTACGATCCCCCAGTTAGCAGACGCTTACGTACGGATTGACACAAGTATCCGCCAAAAATTATACCTCCAAGATATCGATTTTCACTGATTATGGCGATAATAGGTGGGCAATCATTTCATATCCCTGTAAAAGGCCTTCCAGAAAATATCTAAACCACGGGTAACTGTAGGTTATGGAAACCTCCTTAGCCACCACTAACTCCAGAATCCTGAAAAACGGCAATGCAGTAGTCGTTGGTTATTAAGCCCACCTCGGGCCCAGACCAAATTGGGCTTAATAAGCGGCTGGGCCAATTAACCATGGGCTTAATGACCGGCGACTTCTGTAGTAGTAATGGGAGTTTTCAGGGTAGGGCCTCACTTCAGAGAAATGTGTGCATGAAAACATAAAAATAAGTAATGTTTCGCCAAATTTTTTCCCCTACAGCTAGATATGGCAATGGAATTGAGTTATATCATAAAAAGCAAAACATAACTCTCAAGAAAATCAAGGAAGTTGAATAACAACAACAACAGCAACGACGACGACGACCACCACCACCACCACCACAATAAAACCAATGTTCGCATGTCGTTATATGAATATAGTAGTTAGTTCCCATAGCTATGCTATAATAAACCAGACTAAGCCAGGCTATGCATTTAAACCTAGGGCTTACATATCCTATTCTTACCAAAACAAGCAAATTATGATTCCCGATTCGAATTAATGGCTTGGTGAGCATGGGTAAAAGTTAAGTTGGTCGCCCAACTTAGATAACCCTAGCCCCTTAGTTCTGTGGTTACTTTTAGTTTTAAGAGTTTTACTTTACTTTAAATTTAGTTTAGTTTATTAATTACTTTATCAGTTTAATTTTAGTTTGAATTTAGTTTAGTTAGATACCGCCAACATTAGATAAATAAACTTAAATAACTATTACCAAACTAACTAAACTAAGCTTAACTTAAAAAAACTAACTAAACTAAAAACAAATGGCAATTAAAACTAAAATTAATCAAAACAATAAACTAAAAACTAAACTACACTAAGACCACCAATCTCGTAGGACAGCATTCTGGGCTAGTGGTATCTATGGTGGGCGGCCAACTTAACTTTCTCTCTATCTTGTCGCGCGGATTAAAAAAAAACATGCGAACGAAAACCAAAGTCAACAGCGAACCTTTAATTGATGGCTTCTGTGTTATCAGAGTTCGAAATATACTCCATGTCATGATGCCTGTGAGTGAAGCTGGGGTTTGGTGATATCTGGCTGCATGCCATCAGGCGAGGCAGGTGCAAGGACAAAGTTCAAATCGCGAAAGACCCCTGGATGAGTGGCGAAGCCAGACCGCAGCAAAACCCTTTTATAAAAGTTAGGGCCGTCAGCTAATTTACATTCAAGTTCTGACATTCAAAATGAGCTGAGTTCCCTTCACCATAGCATCTAATATGGTTAGGGCTAACACATCCGTGAGAGGTATGTCGTCTTACGCTTACTTTTAGTAGTAATTCAAATTGTAAATAGTAGTCGTAGTAGTATGTTTCCTTCATTTCCCTAAAGACATTAAAGATTGAAAAAGAATTCCCAAGTTGTGAAAATCCGGGGGCGAATTAACATATTTATGCAGCCTTTAATGAAACTGTTTGATTGAATGTTGACTGCTTATAATAGATAACATGATTCAACATACGGATAGCAATAATGCTAGTTAAGATCACAGAATCGTATTTCGTCGAGTGTCTATCCTTGCAATTCACTAGCTGATTCCCCGACTTTCTATACATGCTCTCGACTATATACTTCAGTTTTCTCACAAAGTGAGGCAATATCTTTGATCGACCACTGAACCGAAAAGATTTCAAACGAGCAGAAAAAGGATTGAAAAAGAGAGGAGTGATTAAAAATAAGTCGACTGAGACAGCAACAGACTGAGATTAATTATACTCCCGACCTGTGACGAATACGTCCCGAAAATATGTCCGATCGGATTCGAAGCTCGTTTGATCAGGGAGGTCATACAGCTCGCTGCGCATCTACTTTTGAAGCATTCGGCAGACCCCGACAAAGACTGCGAGGTATTGGGCTCTGATAGAAATTTGACTAAGTAAGACAGTTTTGCAATACCAGGGGTGCAGGTCCAGCGACTGATCCTTGTATCTAATTGGCTAAGCAAGCACTTTGCTGTGCTCCGACATCCCTGAAAAGTAGTACGCGCGCGGGGAAAGCTGCACGGCCTCGCACTGAATGCCCACGCAACTGCAGCTCCTGACCTCTTTGTTCTCCCTCTCTCACTTTGCTTCTATGACTGAAGCTACTTTCGAATGAGAGTACACACCTAATGCGGATAATGTTTTGCTCCTCAGTATTCGAGCCTAAATCCGCTCGGGGAGCTCGAAGCTTCTTTAATTTCACGGACTGTTTGCTTTCTTCGTTTAATCTCTAACTTTATTTCTATCTTTGCGTCTCCCCGACCA